AAAATCTGATGGTCTGTCCCTAAATAATAATAAAATGTTTTGGTCTTTATACGAGGATACATGTAGCACTTAATAGCCAGTGGCTATCAAACCTGTCGCCCGACATTCCATGATCGAATTGAAATTTTCAAGAAGAAAAGCCCACAGGAGAGAATCAACAAGCATCTTTCCTCATGACCGGGAGTCCAGTCACTACTAAGCTATTTTCTCCTGCTTCCCTAATATTTCTACATACCTTTTCTAACCCTTGGTGATCCATGTATTCCTTTGCCCATTCTTCTGAGCCACTAACTCTAAATTTATCATAATCAGATATCCATTCCTCTACTTCTTGGGAATCATCTGTCACTTCCTGACCAGTGTTTGTATCTATCACCTGTTGAACGAAAATCATAGCAGTATCTTAGTAACTTGGGGATTCAATCTGTGAGTTAGCCATGCCCTGACTTAGATCAACCCAGAGGTTGTTTCAGGGTTCTATCTGTGATTAAAAAACTGGGATTACTAAAAAATTCGTCAAAAATTCAAGAACTCTGATATAAGTTAAACCTGCCTGGTTATCAATGACTTTATATTCTCCGTCTCTTAATTTCTTCATAAAATTCATAAACTGAAAAACAAAAAATTGAAATTAAGATCATCCTGTCCTGATCCGCCAATGAATGAAAAATCCTTGAGCTATATCTGTGTTGCATGATACTTTATGATGGTGTTATCAATCATGAAAGTAATGTTTTGATCTACAGTTTTGAATTCTCTATTGCTCAGGTTTAGCATCGATTTTGTGTAGAACATTCATGCATTCAAGTGAAGGTCCATGGAATTCCAAAGTGTTTGTATTGTTGAAGTTGTGTATTATTGACTTTACCGCTGGTATTTGTGAATATTTATACAATGGTCAAAATGAGGCGACAGTAAATGAGTCTGAATCAAGGAAGATAATTATATTATGAGAATTTGAAAGAGGTTCATTACTGAAGACTCACTTTTGAGTTAGCAAATTTAGGGTCCTGGTTATTTTCTAGCAAATTTCCAGCAACAGAAGCAAGCTGTGCATTTTCATCTTCATGTCTGTACTCTTCTGTCCTACGATAGAGAATATATCACTTGTCAATGTTCATTCAAACCAAGGCATGCAACTTTCAACACAGCATAAGAAAAAGGGTGGCTGAGTCCTGTTTATTAAATACAGCACAGTTCTAAACCAATCAGATCATGCATAGTGAGGCGGCTTGATAATATTTTCAGTTACCATTTTTGGTCGTCAAGAGGGTCATGATGCACTTCTCTGATAAAATAAAAGGAAATATATTTACTGAATATTTCATAAAAATATAAACATATCCTAATAGTCCCCTTCACAGTTCCTGGCGCCATCTTGAAAGGTAGCCGTGCCTTTGTATCGAAGGAGACAAACGGTGAGCTTGCAATGACAGAGACCTTTTTTTAACAGCTTGGACAATTATTCACATGTCTCTATCATTGCAAGCTCACCATTCGTCTCGTCTCGATGCAAAGGCACAGCTACCTTTCAAGATGGTGCAGGGAACTGTGAAGGGGACTATTGTGTGGTTCAGAAAATATCCATACCTACCATGGAGAAAATTGGAAATTCCCAAGGGGTGGGGGGTCAGAGGATACTCTCGATGCAAAGGCACGGCTACCTTTCAAGATGGCGCAGGGAACTGTGAAGGGGACTATTGTGTGGTTCAGAAAATATCCATACCTACCATAGAGAAAATTGGAAATTCCCAAGGGGTGGGGGGTCAGAGGAAAAACAAAATTACAAGGTTTGTATGGAAGAAAATTGGATTCCAGAGGGGTAGGGGACCTATTTTTTGAATTTCCTCTATGGTGGGGTATGGAGATTTTCTGGAACCATGCATTAATCTTATGACTTTTTTTTTTTCATAGAAAAGGTGTTTGCATTCTAACATTAAATTATGATATGAACCAACCTGACATTTTCCAAGTACTCATTAGCCCACTTGACAGGAACATTGTGAAGTTCTAACAATTAACAACAAGAAAGTCCAAAATAAGTATCGCTACTGATATTAATATAAGCTATTAATAGTCTAATAATATTATGTACAGTACCTGCTCTTGGKTGGTGTCGAACAGCGTCATCATATTCTTTTGTCCATTCTGCAATGATTATTAACAAGCAGGAATGTCATAACTGTTATGGATGGAAGAGATAAAGAG